ACAGGCACTGTTCCCACTCCAATAGGAACAGAGAACTCTGGTCAGTTAGCAATGCCTCCCAAGACTTGGGGCGGGGGATGGCATTGAACTTGGAGACAGCTGACTAGAGATTTCACCCAACCTCCAATGTACTCTGCCTTAGTGAGTATTGCAAGGATTGCATAGAACGATGAACTGCTAAGCCCACAGTTGGGCTTCTACGAGTCTATGTCTGGGGGCTTGGGCAGAGAGAAGGCATAGAACCTGCCTCAGATACTGCTCCCCTCAGATGAAGTGATAGTTCCCTGATTTTTCCAGGACTGTGGCTTGAAGCCAGAGCCTTGTGTGTGCTAGGCAAGTACTCTGTCACTGGACTGTGTTTCCAGGCCAGCTCCTTCGTAGTAACTAAATAGCAGCAACCCTTACTGAACCCTTTGAGGCTTGCAGCAATACGATCACAAGGTCTGTCCTTGCTACTTCTGCTGAGCAGTGTTTAACAACGATCACTGGTGTGTTTCAGAATAGTTCGGAGAGATTCTTCATTCTTCCTCAACACAAAGCAAGGACAAGTGACTGAGGGGACAGAAATGCCAGTGACTCTGATGTGACCAGTTAAAACTGCACACATTTATATTTGATACTCTGTCCTCCATAAAGATAGGTACAATTAATTACTAAGAATCAACTCCAAATAAAAGGACATTTTAAAAAGCTGACGCTGTTGAAAGGGATACAGGTGAGCCAGCCCTGAGGGTGTGAGAGTGGGCTATCTGGCCACACCCCTTTGTCTGCCATGTGGTGGTGAGAGGGAGGGAGAGATGCTCTCCCCTTGACCCTGCCACCGTGGTGGGCAACAGAGCTGACACCCCCACCCCCACAGCTGGTGGGCTGAGCAACCCTGCAACTCCCCAGGCCCAGAACCAGGGTAATGTGTTGGCCCACCCCAGCATCCACCCCATCTGTGATCTGCTGGAGCTGGTCCTGTGGACCCAGGGTTGCAGGACCTCCATGACACAGGGCAGCCACAGGATGCCCAGAAAGAGTTCCAGTGAGGGCCCAGTGTCAGTGGTGTAGCAGAGACCCAGGGGCCTTAAAGTAGGCCAATGACTCTGCAATAACGCCTGCATGTAAAAATGCGTAGATAAGGGGTTTACTGCATGGCTCACTGTGTCCTACTGCAGCTCCCACGAGGAGATTTCCCTCTTCATCCTCCCCACGCTTTTTCTCTTAAATTTATTTTGTTTTATTGGGGGGGGCATGAGTGAGATTGGGAGGCATGATGTGAAAGACACAAAGAATAAATAAAAAGAAAGTTTAAAAAAGGGGGGAGGGCCAAAAATACATTTTATAAGTCTCCTCTAGCAAATAACAGAGCTTTGTGTACTAGTTACTTTTCTGTTGCTGCGATAAAGCAGCATGACCAAGGCAATCTATAGAACAAAAACTTTACTTGAGCTTCCAGTTCCAGAGGATGAGAGTCCAGTGTGGTGGAGAGGCATGGTCCAGGCGTGGTGGCAGATGCGGGAGGCTGAGAGCATCCACCCTTAAGTGCGAGCAACAAAGCAGAGAGAACAAACTGGAAGTAAGGCGTGGCTGTGTAATCTCACTGCCTGTCCCCAGAGATGTACTTCTACCAGCAAGACTGCCCTACCTAAGCCTCCCCAAACAAGCAGGGAACCTACTGTTCAAACACCCAAGCCTGTGGGGGAACATTTCTCATTAAAGCTACCACACCTTACTAACCACAAGGTATTATTTTTAGAACTGGTCTTAAATTATGCTGGTATATAGAAGAGTGCCTGAAAAATGTCTTAAAAGCCGTGACTCTTGCTTTGGACTGATGAGGGTCCTATTATGGTTTGTGTATTAGAGTCCTCCTGAAGGTTTGTGTGCTGGAAGCTTGCTAATGCCTCTAACTTCACTGAGGGCTTAAACCATAGGTGAGTTCAGAGAGTGGACTGTAGGGGGAGTGACCTGGTTGGAGGAAGTAGAGTCACTAGGCATGTCTAGGAAGGCTCTATCATGCCTTGTATTCCTGTCTTCTCCTTCCTGCCTGCCATGAGCCATGATGTTGCCCCTGGCCTCACGGTGAAAGCAGCGGAGATCGCTGATCTTGGACTGGAACCATGAAGACATGAGCCAAGATAGAGCTTTCCTGTTTTACAGGTTTTTTCAGCTGTTCGTAACAAAAAATTTAACAAACATGGACCCTCTGTATTGCTTTCCTGCAATAAGATTTAATAACTTTTTTTAAACCCTGAGACATGCATAGCAGGATTGTATATGGACACGTGTATGTAACAGTGTATTGAGACGGTTCCAGTCAGAGGCATTTTTTTCCAGTGTTTGCTACGGATGTTAGAGTTGACTTACTGTGTCCTGGCAAGAGTGAAGTGACACAGGAAGTAGCACCAGAAAACTTCAGGGAGAAGTGAGGAGCGGCGTCAGGTGAAAGAACACTGTGTCTGTTGCTCACGTAACAAACCACCCCCAGCCGTGGTACCAGCTGTTGTTTCAGGGGTCTCAGCTGGAATGGCTGATCACATGTCTCCCTTTTCACACAGCCGCAGAAGAGTGCTGATGGTCAGAAATGGCATCCCAAATGCTTATGTACTCTACCTGTGTCATGTCTGCTAATGTCACAGAGGCTGAGCATCAGTGTGGGCCTGGATTACTCAAAGGCACCAATATAGGAAAGCATGTTCCTAGGGCCCTTGGTAGGTGAATCCTTGCCAGTCTTTCTGAGAAACGTTAGGCAATTCCCTGACTCTGTGAAAGGTAAAGTTTGTAGATGAGCTGAAGTTGGTCTTAGGATGCAACTTGGGGGACTTTGAAATCTGTGTCACTTTTGTTAGTATGATCTCATGTATACACATCAGCAATAAGACCTAAGGAAACTCAAATTGGTTGGCTTTGAGCATCTCTCTCATCTCTGAGGCTTAGTCTCCCCCAATTGTAAAACTCCTCCCCAGGGTTATTTGTGGGAAGGGCCATTTGAGCTCAGGGTCCTTTGGTGAGAAGCGTAGAAGCCTCACACAGTTGTGGATGCTCTTCTGCCCTGGCCAGGACTCCCTGTTCTGGGAGACATTTAACCCTGTGCACAGGAAGACATATGATTCTCAGTAAGAAGTCTGAAGCCTAGCCGGGTAAATCACCTTAAAAATTCACGAGAGGACCTTTTTTTATTCCATATGCATGAAATTTGTCTCTGTCACTTTCTTTCCCTAGGATCAATAAAAAGGAAACTGATTTTATTTCAAAAAACAAATTACTTCTGCTTCCCCTTTTGTGCTCAAACCTAACTGGCTCCTTTTTTTCCAATGCAGCATGTTCTCTCCTCTGCCTCTAACTGTGTCAATCCAACTCAGCAGATAGCTCCAGGGAGTGCTTGATTGATCACAACCCAAGCTGCTCCCTGTTCCCCATCCATCAAGTGTTACCCAGTCCTTTTTATGTCTGGGTTAGAGCTAGGACCCGATGACAAAGAAAAAGATGGTTTTTATCCTCCAGGAGCTCACAGACAAGCAATGAGACAGATGTAGAAACAGGAAAAGTGCCAGGGCTGTGTGCTGTGAAAGGGGCGGATGTGTTTATTCAACAAATATTTAATGATCGCTTGTTCTGTGCATGCCTCAAGTTAGTGTGAAATACAAAGAGGGTTAAGCTACCTTTTCTATTCTTACGTTGTGACTGCAGAGGAGACAGACGAGTCAACAGTCACAATTCAGAACCTCAGAAGTCAGCACCAGTGTCGTGTTGGGGCAGGGAGGACAGGACCTGCCAGGTGGAAGTGGGTTGGGAAGGTTTCCCACAGATTTGTATAAAACAAGAAAAAGGCAGGGATAGATTCCAGGGCAAGAGGTCAACGTATAGCCAGGTGGAGTGGCCTGGGAAAGTATGACACTTGAGAGAAAGCAGAGGAGCATGCCTGGTCCACAGAGCCAGAAGGGGGAAAGGGAAAGCTGGAGAGCTGGGCAAAGGTGAAGCCCAGGAGGAAGACAGCCTCATTGACTCTGCATTTTAAGATCAATGCAGAAGTGGGTCAGATGCCCCCTAGGGGCTGCCTTGGGAAATGATGGCACTCATAAACTAAACTTCAATTCATATTTATTTTTATTTCGTGTGTGTATGTGTACCAGAGCGTATGTATATGCACCGCGTGTGTGCATGAACCCACAGACATAAGAGGTCTTTGGAACTGAAGTCACAGGTGGCTGTGAGCTGCCTGTGACAGAGCTCTGCAGAGGAAGACTGTAAAGATGGAGGAGACCCCAAATCCAGGCGGTGGGGTGTGCCTCAGGAGACGTGGAACCTCCAGCACATCACTCAAGGGGCGTGAGCTGAGGATTCGGGTGTTGGGGTATTCAGATACAGGGCGGCTGAAGCAGAGGAGAGGTTGAAGGCACTCTGGGACATCGTGCTGTGTGAAGAATGGGCAGAGAACTTAGACACAGAGAAGCCCATCGCTTACGAGAGAGTGAAGGAAGATGACCTGGGCAGAGACATGCGGGACAGTGACCTGTCCCTCAGGTGCTGAACAGGGATCAAAGCTTCTGTCTGTCTGTCTGTCTGTCTGTCTGTCTGTCTGTCACACACACACACACACACACACACACACACACACACACACACACACTTCTTTATTGTGTTTACTGTTCCAGTTTCCCAGCCATAACTGGAGTGGTGTCAACTCGCTTCTCCAGAAATGGCAGAATGTTTTTCACCTTTCCATCCCTGTTGTGGTAATGTTCACTGTGTGGTCTGTGGCCTCTTTCCAGAAGGTCCCTGGTGACTTCTCTCAGAGGGCTGCCTATTGGGTTGCTTGCTTTCTTCCAGGGCCTTCCTTAGACTTTCCCTGGGCGATGGCATGTGGTGGCTGGAGGAGAGCAGGAGGCAGGGTCTGTGCCCTTGGCCACAATGTATAGATCTAGGGAAACTACGGCCTCCTGTGACTTCAGCTTCCCAGTTTCTAGAAGGACCTCTCTCATGGACACTTCGTAGGTTCCAGATCACTGCTCTTAGCTTAGTTTAGGGAGAGGGAAGGCGCGGGAACTGTCTCCTAAGCCCACCAACCCTGTAAAAGATGCACTAGAGAAAGGTGGAGTGTTGTTTACCTTGAAACCATGCAGGAAATCTTTACTGTAAAGATCAGTTCACAGTGAAATACTCTCTCTTAAGTCCCCTCCTCTTGCCACTCTGCCCTTCCTCCTCATACCTACTCTTTGGTGATTCCAAAAGCCCCTGGTCCAATCTGGAATGACCACAGAAGGCCTGGGGACCTCTCCTATAAAGTCACTTTGCCATCAAGGACATTCGCCTTCCAAGGGTAGAGGAGACAGCGTGCAGGAAGCAAGCTTTGTTCCTTTGAAGGCATCCTAGGCTGTAATCCCAGTGCTCAGGAGCTGAGGCAGGAGGCTTGATAGAAGTCTGAGGCAGCCTGGCATACATAGAAAGCTTAGTGAGTTTCAAGTCAGTCAGTCAGGGCTAGTGTGAAATCCAACTCAGATGCAGGACACACACACACACACACACACACACACACACACACACACACACAGAGAGAGAGAGAGAGAGAGAGAGAGAGAGAGAGAGAGAGAGAGAGAGAGAAACTGATCTGCCTTACAGTGAGAAATCAAAATGCTAACCCACTCACCTTGAACAATTTTCCCTGCAGTGTATCCACCTCTGGAATCTCAGAACAGCAACAAGAAATGGGGGACTGGGGGACTGGGAGGCTGGGGAGAGATCTCCTCATCCTCTCACTAAAAGAAAACCAGAAGAGATTTGCTCACGTAGCTGGGTCTTGTCAGAGATCTTCAGTAACATATAGTAGGGTTTTTGTCTCTTCACCTGGCCTCTCTGTGGTGCCCCAGCATGAATCAGATGTATGAGGATGACTTTATGGGGGTGGGGGGCAACCCACAACCCAGTCTACCAGCATCAGCCTGAACCAGAAGCATGCGGGAGAGACTTTATAGGGTGACCCAGACTATCTCTGGGGTCAGCACCAGCAGGAATGGGCACTTCCATCCCACCTGCAGCCTCCTGAACTCCTCTGACCAACCATGAACTTTCCCTTAGCTAGCTCTCCCTTATACAGTTGGAAGTTAAAACCTGTCTGAATTCAAGCCCTGAGGTCAGGGCTGGGAAGGCAACCCTGGGCCTTGGCTTCATGGTGCTGTTTCCTCATACCTGAGCCTTCCACAGCTGCATACACTCCTCCCAGCCTGCACTATTTAAAGCCAGTGCACAGGTACTCCTAGTGAGTCACAACACCCAGGAGGGCAGTGCAGGCAGCTCCACTCACCAGCCCCTCTGTGGGAAGGAACTCTTCCCTCGCCATGGCTTCCTTGGGGCAGATCATCTTCTGGAGGTAATGTCTCTCTCTGTCTCTGTCTCTGTCTCTGTCTCTGTCTCTGTCTCTCTCTCTCTCTCTCCATATTAAGAACAGGGATGGGGTCTTTGGGAGGTGCTGAGAACTCTGGGCTGTGCCCGGGCCACACTTGCAACCTAATCTGATCCAGCACTGGGTCAAGAAGAGGTTAATCAAATTCAGCATCAGCACAGCCTCTCAGGGAAGGCCCTGGTTGGTGGTTTATCATGGGAGGTTTTATCATCCCTGCGAGGGCAGCAGTGGGCTGAAAACCATGTGTACCACACTGGGGACTTCACAGAGATGTTCAGGCATGCTAAAACCCACAGGCAGCGAGCAGCAAAGAAAAAGGATGGCAAGCGGGCACTGGTGATGGGGTTAACACAGGACACGCTCTGCAGCCCTCAGGAGGATGCAGGCAAGTGTGCTTTGACTTTTCTGTGGGTATGATTTCTCTGTGCTACCCAGCAACTCACACCAACACCGTTACCGCAGACCTGGCTGGAAGGTGGGGGCCCTTGCTTTCCCAGGAGAGCCTGGTGTTTATTGCTGCCTAACATCTCAGAAATGAAAACAAAATACAGTAAAAAGAAGCAAGCTCATCAGCCACCGTTGGCTCCTCCGCTATATTCTCGCTGCCTTTCCCCTCAGGACATCATTTACCTTTCTGATTGGAGAGAGATGGCAGCTTTTGTTTTCCTTGAAATAGGCAGTGATTCAATGTCACTCCCAACTGATGACACTTTTCAGGAAGACATGCATGCTGGTTCTAGGGTTGTTTGAAGGACCAATCCTCCAATTTTTATGTGTCTTTTCCAGATTAAAAAGAAAAGGAAAGAAAGAAAGGAAAAGAAGGGCAAGGTTGGCAGGAAAGCGATTAACAATGAAAAGTCTATAAAAAGACCAAGTGAGCGTCACTTACCACAGACAGCCTAGAAAATTATTTTCCATGAAACAGAATTTCCCCTCACTTGTGTTCAGCAAGAGGGGGACAGGGGTATCACGGGACCAGCAGAGGGGGTCTGGGCAGCATCTCCTCCCTGTGCTGGATACGTCTCTGCCCTGGAGAGGCAACAGATAGCAGTCATCTCCATCCAGACATTCCAATCTGTGTGAATGTCTTCAGGAAGTGCCTGTGCCAGGGGTGAGCATTTTGTGAGCACATCACCCCTCCTCCCTCCTTATGCCTTACACTTTGTAGTGGCATCTGGAATCTCACTACCCCTTGTGAAGGTTCATTGTCACCTCAGAGAAACTGGCCATTTGTCCCAGGCCCTGGAGCTGCATGAATAAGGGGTGGGGCAGCTTTAAACCCACTCTCTGTCACTCTGAAAAGCCTAGGAGATGCTTGATCCCACTCTCCCCATCACCCAAGCTTAGGTTCCCAGGATGGAAAACACGAAACAAGTGTCCCTGTTGTTCCAAGGACTGGCGTGTGGGCTTTCTAATAATACATTACAACTGGCCTGACTGGTTTTGCTGGTGGATCAGCCAGAGGTGGGTGTTCAAAATGTGGGTCCTCCACCCTCTAAGGTTTAGAGGCCCATTAGGATCAACAGAGGCTTCTCTTGTTGGCCCTGGTTGGCTGGTTCACCATTTACATGTTGCATTTGCAAACACAGAGACAAACCAAGAGGGTGACAGCCTGGGAAAGGGGCACTGATCATCTCAGTGGAAAGTGGGATCAGGTGCTTCCCTCTAGATATAAAAACAAGTCACTGGGGGAAGCCCAGTGTCCCCCTCAGTGCCAACCATTTCCTTCCCTTTGCCATAATCCTCTTCATTCTTAATAGTTCCTCTCGCTAATAATAGTTTCACGACATAGCTCATGGGAGGGCCTGCCATCTTCTGAAGAGCTAACAGATTTCTCCCTTAACAGAGAGTTTAATCCCTTCAAACCTCTCGCTCAGGTTGTATGCCCCCAAGGGTAGAATGTCCTGGCACAGGAGGGGCTGTGTGATCCAGACTTTTTCATCATTATGACTGTCCAGGACACCAGCATCACTCATAAACTTTTGCCAAGTGCTGCTTGGAGTCCAAGGATGGAGAAGCTACATTCTCTTATCTGAAGGTGTTAGGTTCTAGTGAACAATGTAATATATCAGGGTATCTATTCTCTGTGGGGTGCTGCATGAGACCCTGAGACACAGGAGACCAAGATGCCGGCAAGTGTACAGTCTCATAATAGTAAGATTCCCAAGGTTCCTGTGTTATGGGATGATTGGCTCAGGGTGCCAATGGGAGCCCGTTCTTGCCCAATGCCTTGGGGAAGGTTTCCTGAGCCAGATGTCTGGGTTTCTTCTTTAAAAAATAAGTTAGTAGGGGCCCAGTTTAAAAGAGTGGGAAAGACGCTCTACATGGAAGGAGATGGAAAACTAAAACTCAGCCAGCACAGAGAACTGCTTGCTAGTTTGTCATACCATCCCAAGGTGCATTCTGAGAAGTGCTGAGAAGTGGGGCAGGGAGGTGACACCAGGTCACAGGTCACACGAGGCCTTATGTATCAGACTGAGAGGTAAGGATTGGTTATTGGTGATGATCAGCCCTCGAAGATTCTAGAGCAGAGAATTCTCAATTCTCAATTCAGAGGAATCTGAATTTTCACCTTAGGTAGGCAGAAGTCTGGAGACAATGGGAGGCAGTTGCTGACAAATAAGAACAAGGAAGAAGAAAAGATAGTAGAGGCCTGGGGAAGGGAAATAGAGTCAAGAAGCATGACAAGGTGTTGAAGAATAGAGGATTAGGTGAAGGGCAGATCCTGGAATGAGTCCCCTGGCCTCGGATGGAGCAGAGTGTGGTGAAGGGGAAGGATGGGATACAGGATGAGTTCCTTAAATTGAGTTTGAGAATTCTCCTGGGACCATCAGATGACGATGTCAAGAAAAACAGAAAGCATGGGGAAGAAACTAGGAGCAATCATGGAGAGGGTTTAAATGTCAAGAGCTCCCAGACAGGGAATGCACATGGGAGTGTCTGCTAAGGAAAGCCTATAAGGAGACAAAGGGGCCAGAGACAGAGAGGCGAAGAACACTGACATGTAGGGGTGGGTGGAGAAAAACCAGATGTCCAGAGAGGTAGAGAGATCAGAACCGTGAAACCACAAATATCAGCAGAGTAGATTTTCACTGTCCACCAGAGACTGGGGCTCCATGAAACCTCTCTATCTGAAATCATAGAAGATCATAGGACTGAGGAAGTCATTCAAAGAAGGAAACTACTTGACAGGAGAAGGCTGGATGTCTCTGTAGCACTCGAAGGTGGCTAAAACAGATGATGGAAGCTTGAGCAAAAGCTACTCACAGAGCTTTACTTTGAGTCCTGGTCTAACGTTGTCCCTGCAAATTCAAGCTAGACAATCAGACAAAATGCTTGGCAGCATTGTACAAGGTTGCCTGGTGAGAGAGCTCAGCACTGATGAGGCTAACACTTCAAACCCCACAGAGACAATAAAAGATGAGCCCAGCTTTTATCTCTGGGAGCCTATTAGACTGAAGGCTCCGGGGTCATAGGCTCCCATGAATACTTGTGTGTCGCCTGAACACATGCTCGTCCCCTTCTCTGCCCACTGCGGTGACGCTTGCTTTTTTCAGCAGCCAGATTCTGTGTCTCTTCAGCTTTGAAGTCCCTTTTGGCTTTTTCTAGGTACCTTAATTGCCTCTTTTATGTTCCCAGCCAGACTTGCTTATAAATATACATTCCTGGTGCTTCTGCTCTCCTCACTAAGGATCTGACATGATGTTTTTTTTTTCAGGGAGAGGGGAACAGTTATCCCTGTAGATACATATCTGGGCTCTGGCTGTAGACTGCCTGGGTTGATAGCATGCACAATTGTGAATGCTTATCCTCTATAAGTGTCAGTTTCCCTACCTGTAAAACAAGGCTGATAGCAGTAAGCAACTACTCGGGTTGTGTAATAATTATGTACCTGACACATCCTAGTGTTCTATAGATATCATCCATTACTATATTCATTCTATGCAAGTTCTTCTATAATGCCCATTACATGGTTGGCTAGCTATAAAAACCTATCTTCACCTCTGTGGCTGTTGGCTTTTTTGTCCTTGAAACAGATCTTGTAGATGGCATTGAGGATTTTTAAAGATCCGAGAGAGAGAGAGAGAGAGAGAGAGAGAGAGAGAGAGAGAGAGAGAGAGAGAGTATGTGTGTGTGTGTGTGTGTGTATACACCCAAATGCACACACATGAGCATTCAGAGACCAAAGAACATTGGGTATTTTCCTCTATTACTTTTGATCCTAGTTTTTACACTTGATCTTAGCCAAAAGGCTGAAAAATGATATCATTGGTTATCCATGGTTAGAAGTGGGGTATTTGTTTGTCAACTTGACACATACTGGAGTCATTCAGGAAGAGGGAATCTCAGTCATGGGATTGCCTTTATTACATTGCCTCTAAGCAAGTCTATGGGACATCTTCTTGATTAATGATTATGTGCGAGGTCCCAGCTCACTATGGTATAAGAAAGCGAGCTGAGAGCCACAAGGAGCAAGTCAGCAAGCAGTGTTCCTCCGCAGTTCTGCTTCAGTGCTTGGCTCCAGGTTCCTGCCCCACTCCCCTTAAGGCAGACCGTAAGCCGCAGTGTTAATCCCACTACAGTCTGCCAAGTTGCTTCTGGTCAAGATGTGTTTCACAGCAATAGACAGCAAACTAGGACACTCTCCTTTTTTTTAATTTAAATTAGAAACAATCTTATTTTACATACTAATCCCAGTTCCCTCTTCCCTCCCATCCTCCCCTGCCCCCCACCAATCCCTCATCCCATCACCCTTCTGTTCCCCAGGGAGAGTGAGGCCTTCCATGGGGAGCATCAAAGTCTATCACATCATTTGGGGTAGGGTGTAGACCTTCCCCCATGTATCCAGGCTGAGAGAGTATCCTTCTATGGAGAATAGGACAGTCTCTTACTGAGCCCAAGGCTCATTTTTTCCTGTTAGGCTAGCTGGCCAGGGAGCTCCTGGGAGATCTGCCTGGTTCTGTCCCCCAATTCTTGGGTTGCACCTGGCAATGCCTTGCTTTCACGTGGATGTGCTGGAGGTTTGAACTCAGGTTCTTTTGTTTTCATAGCAAGTGCTCTTATCCACTGAGCCATCTCTCCACTCCCCAAGACAGTCCATTTTAACAACACAGAGGTGTTTTTTTTGTTTTTGTTTTTTGAAGAAAAAGGAAAGTCAAGTTGGTCCTATCTTTCACACCTGTCTATGACTAGGAGACCCATTTGAGAATGAGATTTGAGAAAAACATGTCTGCATCACCACTGAGCAGCCAGATCCTGTGGTGAGGGGCTTCCAGGTGAGTCTGAGAGGCCCCACTGTGTGCACAGCTCAGCATCTACACCTTCTGATGATACAGCGTTGATAATAAGTGTCAACCCACCCTGCAACCAGGAAGGCTAGATCTCCAAGGCTCGAAAGATATTCCAAAGATGTGATGTATGGGGACAAGCAGGGGAGTCTAGGTGTTTGAGCTCAAGTAGTGCAAATTCTTTTTGTTATTAAAGCAAGCAGAACATGAGGTGATGTTTATAGCTAGCTTAAGCAAAGACAAGTACAGTGAGGGAATACACCTGGTTTTATATGTCTTATTATCTTTGGTCATGTGAAAAGAACCGAGAATATTTTTCCTGGGTCTTTGTCTTTTCCACATAAGTAATGTAGACATGTCAAAGCATTTTTTTAAATTCTTGTTTTTAAATGTATACACTAATTGTAGTTTATATAACTTTTTAAAAAGAAGGTTGCCTTGTGAGAAGAACATCTTGTACTCTGTCCCATCCATAACT